ATGTTTCTAATTTTATACTCCCCTAAATGTGAGTTTACAAACCAAAGTTGTCCTCCAACCAACGACAGCTCACTGCGGTTGGACTGTGTCGCTGTCAGGACAAACAGCAGAGGGAGGGACTCCCAATATCTTCAGCGAGGTATTTCATCTCCGAGTACTTTCAGCAGAGTACTTTTCTCAGAGTACTCATCCCAGAGCACTCTCACTTTTACACCTGTTCAATAAAGCTTGTTATCTTTGAATCTCTAGTACTTACACCGTATGCTGTTGACAAAAAATAATTATTCCATGATCACATTAAAACATTACAGACACATTTGTTATTCCATGATTCCGTTCAGCATTCCTCATTTCACACATCACACTCATATCACAGTCATATCACAGTCACATCACAGTCACATCACAGGCCGATTTCCCACGTTAGTATTTTGGTCCAGTTTGTTAAGGTCAGCGTAGTGTACTTTGACATGACACACAAACATATAACATGCACAAAACATATAACACACACAAACATATAACAACACAGAAGGCCTGTACTTTTAACTTTGTTATATTTTTCCATGTCCAATTCCAATTGTCTCATGAGCTATTTCTTATTGTTGCAACTTTCAGAGCCTGTAGAGCTTTAAAAGAGTTTTCCTAAAAGGATCCATTTCCAACTTTAGTGTTTACCACGTGGTCTATACTTCGGGCTTATCACAGATTGTGTCCCCTATATCTCTAATGAGCTCTTGTCACCTAAAAAAATGTTTATTTTCCTTATTTTTTTTCTTTTTCAATAAAGCCAGGTCGGATTCATTAAAAATGTAAATTAGTCTCAAACTTTAATACTTCACCTTTGTTTCACGATAAAATGTTTTTGTTGCTCATTAAGTAGCACAGATAGTGGTGCCTATCTCAATAAACGTACTCCGTTAGCCTATCTTCCCTACACTGCATGAATTTTCAAACTCCAAGTTATTGTCTGGGACCGACCGGAGAGAGCAGCTTAGGTCGTTCGCGTGGTTGACCTCCAAATTTTGTGCGGGCGTCACTATCCACTTGTTGTGGCTAATAACTTAGCAATCTCAGGGTTTGGTGTCAATTTCCAGTGGTAGTTAACTTTTGGGACCGGTGCCTCCTTTTATTTATCTATTTTTAATTGAGTCTGCACATAAGGTCTCGGCCTAGTAGGTTAACCGGGGACAATGGGGAATATAGAAAAGAATGTTTAAGCTGGTTGCCCTAAGAATCAAAACACGTTAGCGGTGACGTAAATTGCTCTTTAGTCGTCTCTCCGACGCTGCTAATTAGAATATGAAACGGCCACTCATTTTAGGGGAGACAGAAAGGCTGTCGCTTTTAGCACAGAATTTGTTGCCCCGGAGTCATCCAGAATTTTAACTTGTACACCACAGATTGTTAGCGTATATTACGGGCATGAATTATCTCTAAAAAGTGCCAATTGCAATTTGTTCTTGTTCAAACTTACATGAGCGGCCGCTTTGGTGACGAATGTGAACCCAGGTTTGGTCAGTCGCTCGTGTTTCCTCCGTGCCCGCCTCTGCCGTCCTCTGGCCCCGTGTGTCTCTGCCTTTAACGCCTCCTCCGGTAACAGTCCTTCGACCCATGTCGAGCACACAGTCTTTCCGCCGGGCTGTGGAAGTTTTTCAAAGTCCGCAGGAGGCCCAGGTAGCCCAAAGCGTTAGCATGTGGTCCATGAGGGTTGGTGAATGACCCAAACGTGCCGGTACTTTTGGCTTCTTCTGTTTGCGGTGCGGGGGAAACTTTCAAGCGGGTTTCCGCGGGTGCGTTTGGTATATCACGCTGCCCCCTCCGTGGAGAACAGTCACGGGATTTGGAGCAGTTTCTCTCTGTGCTCCAGAGCAGTTGTCGGTGTCTCACATATTTGCTTCCCCCGTTTCTTCTTCTGTGGTTTCCTGAGCGTGTGTCTGTTTCCGCCTCTTCTTCTTCTGCGGTTTGGGCCCACTTCTCGCGGGGTCTCAGCTGGTGCGAGCGCCGCCTGTGGTTGGGGCGTGGGGCTGGTGCTTTGAGGCAGAGGACAGTGCGCGGAGGAAAGGCGCCGACAGACCTGGATAGGGAGAGGAAGAGGGACAACAGTAGTCTGCTCATTTTTTAAAAACCCAACGCCTTGTTTGGGTGCACACTTATTGTTAGTAGGGGAAAAAAAGGGCGGTAGGGTGGGGGTGTGGGGGTGTGGGGGATGTGTGTGTGTGTCCGCCTCTGTGTTCTCCGCTTCGGTGAAAGGCGGAGGAGCTATTGTTTTTACATATTTCTTTCTCTAACCTCTTTTGCCGTGATATTCTTAAAACCAAGTATATTTTTTCTTCCCTTCTTCTTCTAAATTATCACGCAAGATGCGTAATGGCCTGCACCATAGGCAAGCACTCCATAGCTTGCATCTCCTAGATTGATTTTTACCCATTTTCTCGTACGAACAATGGGCCTAACCCGCTTAGTCTCTCCCTGCTCCTACCCACTTTGGGGCGCTCCATTCCCCCCTCGCTGGTTCAACCAGCGAGCGCGCGTTCTTGAAATGGAGCGGGTCTGGCTGAAGACACTTGGAGAAATTTTCAGGGTCGCCTACAGGACGATACTAACGCGCAGCCGCTAGTTTCAATCTAGAACAAAAAGCCCCCCAAAAAATCCCGCACACAGACTATGCTGTGGCAATGAATGAAATACCCGAAAAATACATAAATAAACAAATCCTCGTGTACACTTAAGTGCTGCCCTGGGCTCGTTACGCAGATGAAAAGACAAGACTCACCAGATTAGGTTCTTTTTGGTCTTGTGTGGCAAAAGGATTCCTTCCGTGCGCGGACGAGCGCGCTCTCCTTTGTCTCCAAAAAGGAACAGAGGCTGGTGATCCAGGTCGGCCAAACAAAGCCGCTCGTCCCCGCCGAAAGTATCCCATGCCAAGACATGTCAGCAACGCCAAATTGTTATAGAAATATATACCCCATGAAGGAGAAAACTCAAAGGTCCTTTGTCTGATCAAAAGCGTAAGTTTATTGTTAACGCACAGTGCGGAGAGTCAGCATATGCACACAAAGGCAGCATGCTCAGCTCTGGGGGCCAGAGCCCCCAGCTTCCTGTATACAAGACACACACCAAAGATAGTCACGCCCACAACGGAGCGGAGGGGGCCACCGGTGAGGAGGCGCACAGGAAGCGCCGGCGCCATCCCCTGTGGTGGCAGTGGCATGGGGTGTGAACAGACAGACAATGGTGGAAATGCAGGTCATACAGATGCAAGACGGAAAGACACAAGGGTGTGACAGACAGCAGGGACCTTCACAAAGCTCAGCATGGCGTCAGAAGGTCGTCTGCATTGATAAAAGGCCTTTGACGTCCGTGTATTTGCTGCGGCTGGTTTTATGTAATTACTCCAAAAACTGTCACCACATAACGTGTTGTGAAGTATTAATGCTGATTTTTAACCACTGTTGAACCTGGACAAAATCTCACACAACAGACACAGTTAGGCAATCTTTTGTTACCCAGTCCAAGCAAAAAATGTCTTGATAGAGACATAGCACAACCAGCTCAGCCTCTCTCAGGACAGGTCTAAAGGACTATCTGCAAGGTCCTTTTGATAGTACAAGACACACCTTCATATACAGACAGACAAACAGAGCAAAAGACACTCCACATTAGCGTATACAAAGCCTGCTTCCTCCTGTTGTTTAACATACGAGCCCCCCCAGACTTCCTGGAGCCTTCCTGCCGAAGTTAGAATAACCTTTCTGTATACAATATATCCAGCCACATTACATGAATTATTAAAATTATAACTTAACCAACATTCCAATGACAGAAGGAATGAGAGTAAAACAACTGTCTTTATCTTATTAGAAACATTTTAAGTGGGGTTAGCATTTGTGCTTTTGGGTCCTGGGTTTGATTCCACCGCGATTCCAGGCCTTTCTGTTCTGTGCTCTGGTTTCCCCCATCAATAAAAACAATAGGTGCGGTTGAATGAATGTGTGTTTGTGAGTTTGACTATGGGACAGATGGAAAATAGCAACAATCTGTCCAAATAAACAATTACAGGAATAAAGAAGACATACACACACACACACACACACACACGCTTGCACGCACATACACACGCCCATGCACATTCTCACAAGGATACATACGCACACAGAGGCCTATACATGCACATACACACAGAAACACACACACAGTCTGTTGTGTTTACGTCGGTAGTTATAGTGTTGATATTTGCTCACATTTAGTATCCAGTTTAAAGGTACAGTACCTAGGGGGATATTCCTTAATTTTAGGAAAGAACCACCCACCTCAGAGGGAACGCCTATTAATACGTGTCTCACCAGAATGAGGAGGACCAATAGTCTAAAATAGATGATCCACCTGGAAGAAGAAAATCCTACACTACATTTTGTATATTTCTCTGCTGCTGTCTCCATATTGTTTTAAACGTTCTCAAACGATCAGAATCTGATGTGAACCCCATCTCTCTGTTTTGAAGTAAAGTCCTGTTCTGAGCGTGTGTTCTATTCTCTGGAGGTTTGAGCAGTTTCTCACAGCTGAGTTTTCTTCAGTGTGGACCATGTGGGAGTGGAACATGTGTACCATGTAGGGCTGCACGATATATTGAAAAAATATTGTCATCATAATATTGCTACGTGCAATATCCATATCAAAAAGATGCACGTTAATTTTGATTTACTTATGTATACATTTCATGTACGCGAATGTGACAAATTTGTTAATAACTGTGTGGATGGAATTGGCATTGGTAAGATTTGAGGTTAGTATGTGTGCCATACTGCGTTTGAATGTAATTAATGTTGTGCTTGCTTTTTCCCGTCTGGTTCAATGCAGATTGCATTTTTAGGTTAAAGACAAAAATATTGCTATAATATCATTATCGAAATACTAAATGCACATATCAAATATTGCTCTAATTTCCAATATTGTGCAGCCCCAGTACCATGTGGCCGTGGACCGTGTGGACGTGGACCATGAGGGAATCACCTGCAGAGTGGTATAGATGTGACAGAAACCGTCGTCTTAAAGCTGCAGTTGTCAGAGACGTCTCCAGATTTAAGTCCTTCCTGCGGGTCTTCGCTTTGAGGGATTTTAGTTGATGGTTTAAGCACTTTTTCTCTGAAGTCTCTGCATGTTTGAAGTTGGCTTTGTGAGCTGCTTTGACTCTAGTAACTTGTGGAAGAGAATAGGAGAATATATACATACTGTATATAGAGTATATAGAATATATATATATATATATATATATATATATATATATATATATATATATCAGCTGGTGCCATCTCTATTTTGCTGTAAAACTAACTCAAGCTTTTGTTTTGACAGAAACTTGGGAAAGTCAGGTCTGCGGGTGTCCTGCCTGGGATTAGGTAAGGGACTGACACACATGCACACCGCTCTACTCCACTCTACAAAACACAAAGGAAAACCCAAACAGAACTTGCATAAAGAACAAAAGAAAAAGAAAAATAATGATAAATAAAAACTATTACAGATCACACTCCTGTTTACTCTCATATAAATTACATTATTATTTGGGCTGTCAAACGATAAAACATTTTTTGTTGATTAATCGTATAGTAATGGTGAGTTAACTCACGATTAATCACATTTTTAACATTCTATTTCAAATCTTACTTAAGTCTGTTTGATTTGCTCACAACCTTTTAATTTTGGGCACAACCAACATGAGCTGTTAATGAAAGGGAAAATGTACGTACCCCAGCTTTAATTTAGCGAGTTTAGTTGCGTTTCAGGATGAGACACGGACACTTCCTGAGGCTCCATAGTTCAGCTTCAGTGGTGTATTTGCGTGCACAGGTTACGTACAGGTTACGCAAAGACACGCACACAACATGCAGAGAATAGTTCTGTGCGTATATGGTTTTTGATCACGTTACCACAGCGCCATTTGCCATGTTGTTGTTGGCGGCTCACCGCTGGGAACCGCTGTCCAGAGCGACCGCAGCTTCCCCGGGTCAGAACGCTGCAGCCACGGAGGAGGCGGACTTCAGTTCAAACAGCAAACAACAGCAAGTGCCCCGCGGTCACGCGTGTATTCTTTTCAAACTTGAATTCCCATAAGGCCTAACTGCTATATTGCCATCTCACACACGCTTGTGTCCGCGGCCCATGTGTGTGTGTTAATATGGGATACATGGGCGGGTCATTTGGACATGCGTCCTCCTTTAAAAAATATTTACTCAATTAAGGAAAAATTTAATTAACGTGTGTTAACGCAATCATTTTGACCGCCCTAAATATTATACAACACTATATTTTGTTGTTTCTTAATGTATAGAATTTCTTTCTGCTAATTTTGAAGCTGCACTGTGAGCTGCAGACACATGTCTGCAAGATCACTGAGCACTCACTAATTCTGAACTTGTGTCCTTCCCTTACAGGGACATGGGTGACGTTCGGAGGACAGATCACGGATGAGGTGAGTTTAACAGGGGCAACTCGTGGAACTAGAATATTGCTCAAAAGTTAATTTAATTCTGTATTTTCACACACATGACACAGATTCATTACACAGTGGCATAAGTCTGTAGTCTTGGTGATTGCGGCTCACAAAAAATGCAACCATATTCTTTCACTTTATCCGTTGGCGGTTCGCGGGGGCAGCAGTCTGAGTAGAGATACAGACTTCCCTCTCCACAGTCAGTCCAGAGTCCAGTTCTGTAAGGTTCTGTTTTATTTGTGTCAATTCTCCACATTATAACAAGACGGAGGCCTGATTTAGACCTCACTCATCCTTCTCCGTGACATTGGTGTCTGACCTTTGGGAAAAGAGGAATTCCCAGTTTTTTGGATTCTGAGCTTTCCAAAAACATGTGGAAATCTGAACATATTTGGAAGATTAGTGGTGATTGTGAGGTCACCAGAGTAAAGAATACCAAATACTGACCGTGTTGACATGATTGAAAGGGGTAGGGTTGAGGTTAAGGTTAAGGTTCAATTAAATTAATTGTTTTCTTGTATAGCCCTAAATCACGACAGTGGTTATCTCAGAGGACTTAACAAAACCATTGAAATTGTCAACACAGATCAGAGAAACACAAAAAATATGGAACACATGGGTATTGGTCCATAGGGAGTTGACCAATGTTCATGAATGTTGATAAATGTCCATAAATGTTGTAGAGTGTTAGTGTCCTTTTTGTTAGACCCACTAACCCTCTTACAGAGTGGGAGAAAATTGTGAACCCCCGGGGAGCTCCACATTGAGAGAGGGATCCACTCCACACGGCGAAGGGGCTGTAGGTTTAGGTTAAGGTTAAGGTTTAGGATCGAGTTATGACTTTTGGGACTCAATCCAAGATACATATCTGTAGTCTTTGTAAATCACTCAAAGTTTAAGAATTTAAGTCATGCTGAGTTCTAAAAAGGAATATCTCTGTCATAATTTATACAGACAACGGACAATATTATTATAACATTAACAGACACAAGTCTCTCATATTTCTTCTTGATTTCCTATATTAAACCATTGTTGGTCCTTGATTACTTTGTAGTCATCTCTGGTGCACATTGTTAGACATTTTATAGGAATGTGGGATATTTAGAACAGGGAGAAATGTGTGAATAATTAGGAGTTATCATTAAAGCGATTGATGGCAATTCAAAATTGTAATCATTTGACAGCATTATTTTGATATTTCATCATTGATTTCTTGACCCTTGCATGAGTCTTGTGTTTGTTGCCTTCCCTCCACACAGATGGCAGAGCAGCTGATGACTCTGGCCTACGAAAACGGCATCAATCTGTTTGACACAGCCGAGGTCTACGCCGCTGGAAAGTGAGTATGATGTCTGCAGAAGGAGGTGTGGAGGAGGAGAAGGTGAGAGACCCGACAGAGAGACCAGAGTGAAAGACCAGCTGCCTCATTGAGCGGTCATGGGGACTTTTTGCGTGAGCTGTAGGGACTGTGTCATTCAGCTGGCCAGGGAAATTCTTCCAACTTGTCTGAGGGAGACACAAGGAGTGTGTGAGGAGGTCTGCTGAGGCTGGAGCGTGAGGAGGTGCCTCTGCTGAGACTGGAGTACGAGGAAGCAGAAGAAGAAGTAAACTTTGCTGGTTGCCATGGAGCTCCTGACCCTCTCCTGGATCTGGACCTGACCCTCTCCTTGATCTGGATCTGGCTCCCCTGACCCTCTCCTGGACCTGATCCTGATGCAGTGATGCAGAATGACTCGTTCCGTGTGAGTGAGGCTGTCCAGCTGCTCCAGTCCCTCTGAGTCTCGGTCTCCAGTTTACATATATAAAATACAGGATAAATATAGGATATTGTGCTATAAGGAGGAATGTTCCCTCGAGGCTTTTACATAAAGTGTTGACTTCAAAGAGAAACCGATAATGAAGACAAAACTCGTTTGTTCAGAGAGAGAAGACACAAGAACCTCCTCTTGACGCCAGGACAAACTGCTGATCCTGATCCTGTTAGATTAAAAAAATGGGTGGGGAAATTTCTTGTAGCGTACATACAGGACAGTGTAAGACACAAGAAGCACACAACATATACATAGATAAGTAGCTGTAAATGCTTCTAGCGAGCTGTATCCCACAGCCGCTGCTGCTCGGATTCTTTCTGAAGTATAAAATACTGGATTCTCACTGTGTTTTAGAATGTGCTGTCAACTGAATAAGGTGTTTATTTTTGCAAGCTTTCACCTGAATAATGATATCAACGTTAACCCACACACACAGTGACAACTCGACTTAAAACTTGTTTTCAATGTTTTTACAACTGTTGCAATTGACTCTTTTAAACACTTGTCTGAAATATCTGATCTAAAGATTTGACAGAGGCCAACAATACATGTATGTGAGAGACCAGAAATACATTATGTGAAAACTAGTGATAGAAGAAAATGTTTTTAGAGCAAAGAACTAAAGACAGTTTTATTACATAAGTCATTTTTTTGAGGTTTGAAAGTTACGTTCCACAGCTTTAAACATGGACTTTTTGTGGTTCACGTTGTACAAATATAATCTTCCATTGTACTGAAATAACCTCTTCGTCATCACTTTGTGGTGGTGTTTTTAACATCGCTCTCTTTTCTGCTCTCGAGTTGACTATGGAATAATCTGCCTTTGTAGTAACTCTCTGTGAAATAATCTCTGGGATTATCCATGCTAACAGTACCGCTGATGGACTGCAGCAAGTCACTTTGTAATCCCCTGGGAATAATACCAGTTTTGGATTTATTTTAAGAGTTTAGGGTAAATTGAGATTAATCTGAAGTACAGATTTTCAGAGTCCACAACACGTATCCTGTGTTATCAAGACAAGATACGCACATTTGTAATCCAGAATAACACTCAGACAATTCAATTCAATTAATTTTGGTATTGCCCTAAACAGTGGTCATCTTGAAGGACCTTACAAAGTTGTGGATTCACCAACAACAGATCAGAGAATCAAACACAGGAAATGCAATACACCAAACAGTGGTGTAAATTGGAGCGGAGGAAACCCACAATCAATGAAAAGTCATGAGTGCTGTTTATTCACCAACATTTCTCTAAAACAAACAAAAACAGAAATGGCTTTTGTCAAAAGAATCTCTGCTGAATCAGCAGAATCGCAGGATCAGTAGAAGAGGAAATCCCGGTTATGTTGGTCTCCTTCACACAGATGTCTGGCCCTTAAGCCATCACACAGACATCTCCCCGCTCTGCTCTGTGTCTGTTCTGTTGAAAGATGATCCCTGACTTTGACCCGGGACAGATGCCCCCCCCCCCAACACACACATGCATAACAACCCTCGCCCCATGAGTCGCTCCCAGAGTAGTTTGTCAGACGCAGGTGCTAATCCTGAGGAGATTATATGACACATATCTGAAGGCCTGTGTACACTCGCGCGGCGCTGGTTACGGTTGCGGTTTGCTCTGGACCCACAGTTGCTCGTACACTTGGGCGTACCCCCCTGCATAGTTTTGAAGAGAATGTTGTGATCCCACACTCAACCACGTGATGGCAATCTCAAATGAGTTGCCAGGGAAACCAAAGCAATCCCATTTACGCTAGCTACTTTCTCCTCTTCAGAACAAAAACATTTGCGAACCAAGCTATTTTATGTATTTATTATTTGTTTATTTGATAGGGACAGAACAAAAAGCATTGTTACAAAAAACAATGCTAATTTGAGCATCAGTGCTAATTTGAGCTCATTAAATGTGTTTCTGGGCGTAGGTTTATGTGAAATTGTATGAATTTATTGTTTCATAACTCATTTAACTGTGATGCTGTGAATAAAGACACAGTTCTTGTTGGAAACACTCACAGGTCTCTCATTTCCCTTATGCTCTCATGCCACGAAGCAATCTAGTTTTATTTGCAATTCTATAAATATGCAAATATTAGCATGAGCACAACTTAAGCTGTTCAACAATCACTGATGAAATGGTACAAAAGCAATGCACTGCTAACAAAATATTTTACTGAAAGATCACAGCTAGTTTTGCGTCCGAATGTAGTCCGAGCCGTCCCGCAGGTCTCTCCCATACAACGCCCCGTAAAGGCGCGTTCACACAGGACTTAACTTCGACTTCAAAAGCATCAGGTTTGCATTGAAAATGAATGGTGAAGCGCCTCAGGTGAAGCCCTGAGTCCCGGCGTCACTTGACGCGCGTCAAAAGCTTCAAAACACGCAAGCATTACGTCACTTGAAGCTTTTGACGCGCGTAATGCTCGCCTAGAGCTCGCCTCTCTCCTGCCTGGAGCTAGCTTCGCTCCGGCCTGGAGCTCGCATCGGCTCCCGCGGAGCGCCTGTCTATCAGTCTGCTGTCCAGCAGTCTGCTGTGTCTGAGCCAGACTCATCGTCAGCTTGTTCTTATATTAAATAAATTACTTTTACTTCACACCGCCCAAGCAACGAAGGAGTGGCTCCGTAAGAAGCATTTGAAAGTCCTGGAGTGGCCTAGCCAGTCTCCAGACCTCAACCCCATAGAAAATCTATGGAGGGAGTTGAAAGTCTGTGTTGCTCGGCGACAGCTCCAAAACATCACTGCTCTCGAAGATCTGCATGGAGGAATGGGCCAAGATACCAGCTACTGTGTGTGCAAACCTGGTAAAGACCTATAGTAATTGTTTGACCTCCGTTATTGCCAACAAAGGTTATATTACCAAGTATTGAGTTGAATTTTTGTTATTGACCAAATACTTATTTTCCACCATAATTTACAAATACATTCTTTAAAAATCCTACAATGTGAATTCCTGGATTTTTTTTCCACATTCTGTCTCTCACAGTTGAAATGGAGCTCTTTGCGAAAGTTCACTGTGGTAGACCCGGCCACTGCTGCCAGATCTACAAGCCTGCTCATCCTCTACTCATTACACCAGCAAAACGCCCACATCTAATCCACCAATAACCACCAGGACAGCAAGTTAAAAGCCGGAGACGCCCACTTCCCGGCCTTCTGAAGTTTGCAAAGCCTCCGCCGCCCCACCTCCTCCTTCTCTCATCGAAGCGTGCTTGCCTACTGCCTCTGCCGTCACCAGTGCCTAGGCCCCGGGGGGGATTATGCGCGCGAGCAAGCGCCGCACTCATCAGCATCTCTCCCGGGCCTAGGGCGCCAAACATACTCAATCAACAAACTTCTAACTGCATTTTCCCTCTTGGGTCTCTCCAAAGTGAAGTGTACCTATGATGAAAATTACAGACCTCTGTCATTAAGTGGGAGAACTTGCACAATCGATGACTGACTAAAACTTTTTTGCCCCACTGTATATTCGTGCAAAAACAGCAATAGATAAGTGATAAACCAAACCAAACATGATCAGCAGTTTGTCCTGGTGTCAACATGGTCCCTGGGCGGCACGGTGGCCGAGTGGATAGCACTCTCACCTCTCGGCAAGAAGGTCCTGGGTTCAAATCCCGGTCGGAACAGGGCCTTTCTGAGTGGAGTTGGCATGTTCTCCCCGTGTCTGCGTAAGTTTCCTCCGGGTGCTCCGGTTTCCCCTACCACTAAAAACATGCACAATAGGTATGAATGTAAACGAGAGAGTGAATGGATGGTGTTGATTGGGGGCTGATGGTCCAGTGGGTTCGGCGACTCACTTCCGTCATCACCGTGTGGGGAATGATTGGAACAATATCTGAACTCTGAAAAGCACTTTGGGTGACCTTGGTCTGTAAAATGCGCTATAAAAATAAACATTACTTACTTACTAATTGTAAGTTCTGCGCCGCACAAGTATACACTAGGCTTGAGGCTTCATGTGCTCCACACCCTCTCCCTTAAGCCTAGCATACAACTGCCGGCTTTTGGCAACTGAGAGTAGATGATGGGAGATGATCAGTTGCCGAAATCGGTCGATGTCAGTGCTCTTACAACTGGATATAAACAGTCGATCTCCGGATTCAGTCAGTTACCCGTGTTCTACTTTTCGGCAACTAGTTGTCCTCAGATCCGGAGATATCACCCGATGTGCGCGCTCCAACAACATGTGTTGAGAGTGTTATCATGTGACTTATTGCGCGCCCTCTACAGTTTATGCCGGAAAACACACTGTAGTTGACGGCCAGTTGCTGTCAATGTACGCGCTGTTATTCCCGAGACTGGCCTGCTACTAGGAGTTGCCCGTTTTCGCCAGATTGTCGATGTGTGCGGGGCAGCAACTCATAGGTGACGGATTTATAATCAGTTGCCAGTTCGATGTACACTAGGCATTACCCTCACCTTCTCCCTCACATTTACTCTCACTCTCATAATCATATTCACATTCATCCTCTCTCTCTTCTCACTCTCACCCTCTCCCTCACCATTACACTCTGCAGATCAGGGCTCACCATCTCTCCTGGTCCTCCTGGATCTGTCAGCCGCTTTTGACACCGTGGACCATCAGGTCCTACTCCATCGGCTCCAGTCAGTTGTTGGCCTCACTGATAATACCCTAGATTGGTTCCGCTCATACCTCACAGGAAGAAAGGAGTATGTCGCCCTGGGGGAGGCTAAATCGTTGCCCCACACAGTTACCTGTGGGGTCCCTCAAGGATCGGTCCTGGGGCCGGTCCTTTTTACAATCTACATGCTCCCCCTAGGCCAGGTAATCAGAAACCATCAAGTCTCTTTTCACTGTTACGCTGATGATACGCAGCTGTACATGAAAATTGACTCCACATCCTCCTCAGTCCCACCGGCCACACTCCACGCCTGCCTGGAGGAGATAAAGGCATGGATGACTAGCAACTTCCTCCAGTTGAATAGTAGCAAAACTGAAGCCATCTTGATTGGCACCCGGCACCAAATCCAGTCATCCACCATATCCAATATTCATGTCTCGGGCCATAACATTCCCCTTTCCTCCTCTGTTACAAACCTAGGGGTCAGATTTGATCCTCATCTTTCATTTGAGAATCATATCCGCCACCTCTGCAAAGTGTCCTTCCATCATCTACAAAATATTGCCAAACTCCGCCCCTCCCTCTCACAGACAGATGCTGATAAATTGGTACATGCCTTTGTCTCCTCCAGGCTGGACTACTGCAATGCCCTCCTTGTCGGGATCCCTGGTAAGAGCCTGCTGAAGCTCCAGCACATCCAGAACTGTGCAGCCAGGATCCTGACGAGGAGGCGCAAGTATGACCACATCACCCCTGTCCTCCAGTCTCTTCATTGGCTGCCCATCCATTACAGAATCCACTATAAAATCTGCCTCCTCACATACCAATGTGTCCATGGAACAGCCCCGACATACCTCACTGAGCTAGTTACTCCACACACCACCACAAGGCGCTTACGGTCCACTTCCACCCATACTCTTCACCAGCCCGTGACCAAGCTCTCCACAATGGGAGATAGGGCCTTTAAGGCAGTTGCCCCTAGACTCTGGAACGCCCTGCCAGAGACCCTGAGGGCTCCCCAGAGTGTTGAGGCCTTTAACTCATTGAATGCCAGCCTATTTCAGAATAGGTACTCCCACAGTGCCAGCCATTTATGATGATTTTTACTGATATTTCAAGACCCACAGAATATTGTGTACTATGACTATCTGAAATCCGACACCAGATTCTAAAAGAATGGACTGTCTACTTTCCTCAGCAAAAAGAATTTTGTTTATAGCTTTTTTCGTTCCCCTGTAATCCTCCGTTGAGTAGAGGGAAGTTTTACTGAAATCACCAGAAATCACCAGAAAGTTGAGAAAAAAGAGGCAAAAAATGTGCACCTACATGTTTTCAAACCATTCAGAGAGCAATGCTGCCACCTGCTGGCTCGATAAAATATGGTCTCAAGTCATCCCCATACATATTAGATACAATAGACATCTGGGAACGTGAAAATAGCGAAAAAGGCATTTGACGGATTCATGCGTCAGTGGCACACGACGTTACTATTTGCTTTGACGTATTTGTGCGTCAATGGGACACAATGAGTTAAAAAAGGCCTGAAAACACATTTATTTAAAAAGGCCTTTTAGTTTGTTTTTGCTCTTGTGCTTGCTTTGTTTTACTATGTCATGTTCATTTTGTTTTATCTGATTTTAATTTACCTGTTGTAGCACTTTGAGGTTTCTTTGAAATGTAAAGTGCAATATAAATAAAATTTATTATTATTATTACAGTCACCTTCACTCACCCACTCACTTTCCTTCACCCTCTTCCACTTCCTCTCTCCTCTTCTTCGGATACTGACCACTTCATGACCTGTATTTATACGCAGCTCGAGAGACACTCAAACTCATTGCTGTCACTTTAGGAGAAAGTAGCTAGCCTCCGCTGTGTGGTGGAACATTAGATTATATTTAGCAGTCTGAGCAGAGACACAGGCTTCCCTCTCCACACACACTTCCTCCAGCTCATCTAGGGGAATCCTGAGGCATTCACAGGTCAGCTGAGGCCCCGATTACATGGAGACGCTGCAAAGCAAAATGCAAAGATAACCCAGCTCCGAATTCAAAGTGCAAAGCCTCATAACCCCCACCAGTATAACCACTTCCTCAAAAACATCTCCCTCAGGCCCCCGCAAAGCCTTGAAAGAATGCACCAACATCATTCTGCATTTAACAGTAGCAGTGAAAATGGAAACTTTAACTACAGCTTTGTGTGGTTTCGTTTGGACGGACAAAGGATTTGAATTGCTCCTCTGTAATACTAGAAGCACACAGTATTAGTTGACCTGCCGCCGTTGCTGTTTACGTTTGTTCTTGGCTACTGTGCATTTCCACATGTTTGTAGGGAGAATTGATGAGGTCATCGCAGCCAGAGAGTTCACACCTTTTTCTTCACACGGCTGTGATACGGCTCCCCACTGTGCAGTGTATCAGTTTTGCTCCACCCGGGAGGCCGTTTTTCAATGCTTGCGTTTGCCGTTCCTGTCATAGTCCTGTAATAGTTCCTTAAAGTGATAGTCTGTAACTCTAAATGAATTACAAATTTTAGGAAATGTGTTAAAAGGACCTCCTGGCCTTAAATGTTGATATAAAATAAGTACAGTTACACAGTTGTTTTCGCGAAGCCTCCGAATCAAGCCTCTATTAGGCTCTGGAATAACATGAAAACTGAACAAAGAATTCTGAACATCCGCGCTGAGGTACTTATGTATATACTGAACCTATATCCATAATCAGATCCTCTGCAGATGTGTCCTATAATGTGCAGTTCATGATAATAGCTTGTTACGGGTTTGCCGGGTTTTTGTGCATAAAAACATTATTATTGTCAGCCAGAACTCACTGAATTAAAGCTCAGGTACCTAAGTTTTCGCTTGTATTGACAATGCATGTTATTTGTGCTCAAAAGTAAAATGTTGTGAACATATCAAACTAAGCAAACCACAACAGTTGTGTTTTGTTTATTTTGCTTACTTAAGAACGAGCCTAGTGATTCATTATTTGACTTTTTGGGGTGAAAGTGGATTTTTCTTATATTTTTTTCCACATAGTTAGTGCCACTTTATTGCCAAACTCTTTTTGACTTATAGTATTGAGAAACATGTGTTAGTCTATTTTTGGTTGTTTTATTACCTTTCCTGTGTGGAAGTTGTATATTTTTTGTATTATTCTACTGAAGGTTTATAAAAATACATTCCATTCTATTGAAAGCCAAGTGTCAGCTCTCAAATTCTTTTGAAATTATGTTTCTATCTGCTACAGAGGCTGAGATATCAATCATCTAGTAGACGTTGAATTTCAGGAAAACTTCAGGTTTTGGAGGGTGGTTCTAAAGTCGGCCATAGGTTTTACAGGTCTCTTTTACCAGCTGTGTCAGGCCTTAGTGGGTTAATGAGACCCGTGTTGAGCTGTTGTCCCTCAGAACGTTCCCATTAGCACCCGGTGGATGGTGAGACTGAAGGGGCCCCACGGAGCATCTGTTTGATCCACTGCTCCTGCCAGCAACCTCACACTGGGTCCTGAACAGGTGGCCCTCCAAGCTCCCTAAATAATTCAACCTCTGGAAGAGGTTCAGACTGGTGTGACGTAGTAAACAACAGGTGAATTTAACATGTCCTTTAATTGGTGGAATCAGTGAGACTATACTAATTCTAATGGTTTTGTCACATACATCTATATGTTTCAAGTCTTACATATAACTACAAAAATCACCTGTTAGCAGAGAGACCAGAGCTATATGATAGAAACCAGAGAGACCACTGAGAGATCAGATAGAGACCAGAGACTCTCAAGTGAATCTGAAGTCTTACATTGAACTGCAAAAAATCACCTGTAAGCATGACTACAGTATGTGTGATTTTAACATGGGTTTCTCTGTGTTTTAGGGCTGAGGTTGTTTTGGGAAACGTCATCAAGAAGAAAGGGTGGAGGTAAGAGTCCAGACTAATCTGTTCTGTAATTTCCGCATGGCCTTCCTAATCTGGTACCATCTCCTGGCTGCACATACTGTATGTGGAGGAGGGGGTGTGTTTTGGTCCAGGGCTGATGAATGCGGACAGGCTAGTGCAATGAGGCTGAGGCTGAATAATGCAGCAGCTAACAAGCTTTCCTCATTCTCCTCCTATCATTATGATTGGCTGCTCTATTGTTCTGGAAAGTTGAACCCCGAGATGATTGATTTGTGGAACATGTTTATCAGGACACCTCAGAGTCCAACACATAATAATGTTTAAAGGTGTCACAGAGGCAGAGGTCTCCCATCACAGTGCTATCAATGCCCTGCACTGTTTAGCTTCAGAGGTCTACTGAGGTCTGGCATTGGTAAAAATCCTCCAGCTCTGGTAGTCCTGACCAAGCCGAGCACTAATATCTGGAGATGGGCATGGATCTATAATAATATCTGGATAGGGTATTAATAGCTTAGAACTGAAGGAGCCGTGTGCTCGAGGAATTCTCGGGTTACTTCAGACTAAACAAGACTAAATTCATGTGGACTACCGAGAGATTTTCCCCATAGATCTCAATTTAAACTATAACGGCTCGACCTCAGCTGACAGAGCACCTAAAGCTTTCAAAGGTCGGATTTTTTGGGCATTTTAGTATCCTATGTCATCCTGAACTTTTTTTCTCGTAAAATCTTTCGGATGGGAATAGGGCGCCATCTTGGATTGCCGGGGGCTTGGTCCCCGGGCGCTGTACTACAGTGACCACTGCTCCTGAAAGACGCCCTAGTGGCATCAGGATGGGTCGAATGCAGAAGATGAATTGCCCTACAGGGATAAATAAAGTGCACCTTTACCATAATTTGTTAAAAGGGCAATTTTTCACTTTTGTTTTCATGATTATGTATGATGACTCCAGCTCTGATCTTTACTTTACTCATCTGTGCAATAAGGATTTGAATGAATGAATGAGTCTTTATTCAGACAATACAAAATAATATAAACAAATAAAAAAAACTATATGTGTACAATGTATGTACAATTTGTTCCCTCAAGGAATAAGTAAAATATACAATCATGTCCGAAAGGGAGCAGGAAGAAGTACAAATACTTATGTAACCCCGCCCCCTTTTCTACGTATCAATTTAACAAAGCAAAAAAAAAGGAAACCCTTCCGACTGCCCTTTAACTACTTCAAGACTTCAAGATCCAACCAATTAAAGTTTTTTTTATGAAGCCTCTTTAGAGAGAGACCAGAGAAAAAGTGATCTGCAGGTGATAACTCCAGAAACCTGTGCTGTACTCTCCTGTTTACCTCTTCTCTTTATTCCTTCTATGCAGACGCTCGAGTCTGGTCATAACAACAAAGATTTTCTGGGGCGGCAAGTAAGTAACCGCTCCATTATTGTGATTTGTGTTAAAGTAAATGGCACGCAGCTCCTGTCTTTAAACTCTTCATATTTCACCAAGAGTTTCTCATAAAGTGCCGGTTTCAGTTTTTCCTGTAATTGCTTCTTGATGCCATTTGTTTTATTTTTCCGCAGAGCTGAGACTGAACGAGGTTTATCCCGAAAGCACATTATAGAAGGTACGTGGCAGAGCTGGAGATTATTGGATTAAACGCTGACAAAACAACAACAAAGTGCTGTAGCTGCGGTGCCTCACGGGAAATCCATCTGTTTGAATAATTAAGTGTTTGGGTTTTAGAGGCTTTCATATGCTGTAATTATGCAGGCTCTGATTGGGTTTATTGAACGACCTGAAATGTGCTTTTCTGGGTGAGACTGAGATAAACACTATGTTAATACATTGAGTGTAAAGCTCCTATTTTGCTGCTGCTCTGCTTCTGTTAAAGCTGGGGTACCTACTGTATGTTTTCCCTCATAAATAATACATGATGTTTGTCCGACAGAAAGTCTTGTAATGTACAGATAAGTTTGAACAAATCAATCTTCAACATTCTCTATTCACCTAATTAGAAAACATATACAGTGGGGCAAAAATGTAAAAATAGTAGTCAGCCACCAATTGTGCAAGTTCTCCCACTTAAAATAATGACAGGTCTGTAATTGTCATCATAGGTACACTTCAACTGTGAGAGACAGAATGTGGGAAAAAAATCCAGGAATTCACATTGTAGGATTTTAAAAGAATTTTCTTTGTAAATTATGGTGGAAAATAAGTATTTGGTAAACTTTGTATTATAACCTTTGTTGGCGATAACAGAGGTCAAACAATTACTATTGGTCTTTACCAGGTTTGCACACACAGTAGCTGGTATTTTGGTCCATTCCTCCATGCAGATCTTCTCGAGAGCAGTGAACACGGACTTTCAACTCCCTCCACAGATTTTCAATGTGGTTGAGGTCTGGAGACTGGCTAGGCCACTCCAGGACTTTCAAATGCTTCTTACGGAGCCACTCCTTTGGCGGTGTGTTTGGGATCATTGTCATGCTGGAAGACCCAGCCACGTTTCATCTTCAAAGTTCTCACTGATGGAAGGAGGTTTTGGCTCAAAATCTCACGATACATGGCCCCATTCATTCTTTCCTTAACACGGATCAGTCGTCCTGTCCCCTTAGCAGAAAAACAGCCCCAAAGCATGACGTTTCCACCCCCATGCTTCACAGAAGGTATGGTGTTCTTGGGGTGCAACTCCTTCTCCAAACACGACAAGTTGAGTTTATACCAAACAATTCTACTTTGGTTTCATCTGACCACATGACATTCTCCCAATCCTCTGCTGTATCATCCATGTGCTCTCTGGCAAACTTCAGACGGGCCTGGACAAGCACTGGCTTCAGCAGGGGGACACGTCTGGCACTGCAGGATTTGATTCCCTGTCGTCGTAGTGTGTTACTGATGGAACCTTAGTTACTTTGGTCCCAGCTCTCTGCAGGTCATTCACCAGGTCCCCCCGGGTTCTGGGATTTTTGATCACCGTTCTCATGATCATTTTGACCCCACGGGATGAGATCTTGCGTGGAGCCCCAGATCGAGGAAGATTATCAGTGGTCTTGTATGTCTTCCATTTTCTGATAATTGCTCCCACAGTTGATTTGTTCACACCAAGCTACTTGCCTATTGTAGATTCACTCTTCCCAGTATGGTGCAGGTCTACAATTCTTTTCCTGGTGTCCTTCGACAGCTCTTTAGTCTTGGCCATAGTGGAGTTTGGAGTCTGACTGTTTGAGGCTGTGGACAGGTGACTTTTATACAGATAACGAGTTCAAACAGGTGCCATTAATACAGGTAACGAGTGGAGGACAGAAGAGCTTCTTAAAGAAGAAGTTACAGGTCTGTGAGAGCCAGAGATCTTCCTTGTTTGAAGTGACCAAATACTTATTTTCCACCATAATTTACAAATAAATTCTTTAAAAATCCTACAATGTGAATTCCTGGATTTTTTTTTTCACATTCTGTCCCTCAAAATTACAGACCTCTGTCATTATTTTAAGTGGGAGAACTTGCACAATTGGTGGCTGACTAAATACTTTTTTGCCCCACTGTATAAGTATGTATATATTTTACATTGCAAGAAAGAGTCCTGTGAGTCACTATTTGACTCTTTGAATTGAGTGAGGGTGGTCCACACTTTTTCACTTTTTTGTCTGAAAAAGCTGATCTATAGATGTCACAGAGGCCAAAATTACGTGATACGCAAAAACTGTCGATAGAAGCTAGAAGTTAGGTACCCCAGCTGATGATGGAAAACAATACTTAGAGTATTGGTGTATACCGCACTCTTGACGGTCTACTATGTGCACCTGGTGAACTTGTATATAGTAAACTAAAGACATTTATGTAGATTTTTATTTATGCAGCCTTCTTGATTTTATTCTGCTTTAACTTGTTGGCACCAAGAACCAAAGCAAGTTCCTAGTTTGTGACTTCTTGTTACTCATATGGTAATAAAAAGGATTCTGATGCTGATGCAGAGGGAGAGACCAGAGAGAGAGATTGTGGATTATCATGTGATATATCTGTCTCTCTCAGGTTTGAAGGCTTCTTTAGAGCGGCTGCAGTTGGACTATGTGGACGTGGTGTTCGCCAACAGACCAGACCCCAACACGCCGATGGAGGGTAAGCTTTGGTGTACTCTATGTTGTGATGTCGCATGATCCGTGGGTGTGATCTGTTACTGAAAGACTAAAATAAGGTAACCATGTTTTTTTTACCCTGGTTAAAATGCTGTGTCAACCCAGGACAATGGTGGGAAATGTCAGCGTGTTGTTTTGGCCCATGTCAGCTTTTCACCACAGGGCAGGCAGGAATATGTCAAAATAAAAAGGTCAAAATAAACCTCCAACTTTCAAAATAAGTCTTTTAATGTCATGACGTGAGTACCCAGCTCCCGGCAGAGACCAGGAAGACAGACCACTCTGACTCTGGGCTCCAGCAGTAAGTAGTAGTAGTAGTAGTAGTAGTAAGTAATCTTTATTTATATACCGCCTTTTCACTGCACATCGGAGTCTCAAAGCGGTTTACAATTGTTATTTTTGGGAGTGGGGGTGCCAGTACAGGAGGCACCCCCACCTCCAGTCCCCGGAGGCCAGTCCCTGTGCTCCTCAGAGTCCCAGCAGGAGGCCAGTCCCAACTCAGAGTCCTGAGTTGGTCTGTCAGGCTTTGAGAGGCAGATAACGCATTCTTCTGTTTAGATGATGATGTACAAATCTGCTGTTAGGGACATTTCTATTTTTAACCTGGCCGTGTCCTGTTAATATGCATCTTCAGCCACAGAGATGCTGATGTTAGAGACCTTTCGCTAATGCCAGCTGTGTGCAGGGATCAGCTGCTCGACTCAGGGGTCAGATTCTAAAGGTCCAGCGAGGGCCAACATTCTGCCTTTAGCTTCCGGCATCTTCTGTGTCGCTGCTGCTGCTGTGCTCACTTGAGTGTCGTGCATATTTAACTGCTGTGGGTGAAGACAAGTCTACTTAGCGTAACCATCTGTGCGTCGCAGAGCTGATGGAGCAAACGGAGGTGAGCCGCTTTGGCACAGAAGGGTTTTTTATAAAGAAGGAATATCACGCATTATTTTTGTCCATAAAAAATATATTGAGACCATTTACTTTGTCATTTCATGCTCTAGAATGTGGAAGTGGAATGAGGAGAAAACAATGTCAACGATGTCCCGCATCATCACTGTCCTAAGACCCTCCTGCATCAGAGAGGAACCACAGGACTGAGGCTGTAGATCCCTCCTATTCAAATTAACTGATACAATACTGCAGTTATGGCTTTTATCTTATTTTGAATATTGTTTGACTGTGTTTAAAGAAGAGCCTCGCACACACACACACACACACACACACTGTTTCTTCGTTTCTCATTCTCCATTCCCAGTGACAGATCCAGCCTGTACCGCGGTTACAGGCAGGTGATGATCCTTTCAGAGAAAAAGAGTGTGTTTTCTTTAACTGCAAGAGAGCTGCGGCTGTAATCCTTCTGGAGCCACTGACGCGTTAATATGAAAATAATCCACAACACGATTTATTCATAGAATGAACAGGAATTAATCAGTCAGCGATTAAGGAGCGTTTCAAACAGAGGAGAGCGGTCTACGTGCAGTAATCTCCATCCATGATGCTACCACTACTTCTACTGCTGCTGTTACTGTGGTTGCTGCTGCTACTACTGCTCCTGCTGCTGCTACTACTGCTCCTGCCTGCTACTACTACTGCTGCTGCTACTAGTATTACTACTACTATTGCTACTGCTGCTACGTACATATTCCCTCTGGTCTCTCTCTCAGATATCTCTGTGCTCTCAATATCTCGGGTTTCTTTCTCTCTGCTCTCTCCCTCTGCTCTCTCTCTGATCTGTATCTTGTATTTATTTTAAAGTTAGTTTTGTTTTGACCCATTTATTGTTACATGTTCCTGTCTGAAAAACATGTTGAAAATCCGACACTTATCCAAAAGACATGCACACCTTTCCCACTGTCCCGGGTTGACACAGCTTTTCCACATCTGTCTGAGCACAAGTGTGACCCGATAGAAGTGTGTGCAAGCTTGGAAATGCCCCTAAGGCCAATGTAACTGCTCTCAAAACTTGACTGGGCTGGTTTTAAAAAGTACCTGCTACAGGGTTTAAAGAGAGGTCAGTCGTGTGATTATGACGCTAACACAACTGTGATATATTTCAGAAAGCTGTGTTTTGGATATTATTGTGTGTGTGTTGTACATATGAGTCCTCAATCCTGGAATGCCATGGGAAAGTATGTATTGTAGAAAAGGTGTCAGGATGATTGTAGAAATAGTGTAGGATGTAATGTGGGAGGGGCAAGTGGGGGTATTAAATGTGTACTTGTCTCCCCTCATGTATATTTTTTGTTATAAATATCCTTTTTGCCTGAAGACTTGTCACTATCCTTTGTATATACATGATTGTACATTTCCCACCTTTTTGTCCTGAGAGCCCTTCTTTAAAAGTGTAAAACATGTATTCGGACCGAGTCATGAGCTTGCAAAAGAGAACGATTCACAACAACTTCTCCCCAGGACGATAAATATGAACCTTGAAATTTGAAAGATTATTATTCTTTGTGAGTCAGACATATCTCCAACCTCATCCGTCCAACATCATTGTCCCTGAACTGTTTTCTCTCTTCCACGCCTCAGTGGTCTCTTTCCTATTCATCATTTTCCTCCTCTCCCTCCTCTCTCTCTTCTCCCTACTCTCTCTCCTCTCTCTCCTCTCCCTCCTCTCTCTCTTCTTCCTCCTACCTCCTCTCCATCCTCTCTCTCCTCTTTCTCGTCTCCTCTCCATCCTCACCCTCCTCTTCTCTCTCGATGTGACAGATGAGACTCACAGCTCTCATTAATGATTGGTCTGGTTGTTTTGTTTCATAATCTCTCCCCTCTTTGTCGTCTCCTCTTCATCACTAACGATTGGTCTGGCTGTTTTGTTGCAGAGACTGTCCGAGCAATGACCCATGTGATAAACCAGGGGATGGCCATGTACTGGGGGACATCCCGCTGGAGCCCCATGGAGATCATGGTGAGGCTGGGTTTCAAGCACTGTTGAAATACTACTACTACTATTGCTGCTACTATTACTACTATTAATGCTGCTACTTCTATTACTATTACTATTATTACTACAACTAGTACTGCCAGGAGGGACCACGTCATCATGGGAAAAGATATAATGGCTGAAATTCAGCAGTTTAGACCAAAGACTGAGTGGAAGTGGACCTTGGTATAAGAGCTGACTCTAAACTGGTTCTTCTCTGCTTAAATCTCTGTTCTGGGGATGAAGATAAAACCCTACTCTTCATCTGCTGTCCTCCTGTGTGTAAAAGTGTTTGATGTTTATACAGTACTTAAAAAAGGCCAATACTACTCCAGAACTCAAATGCAGGACTGCCCTAATGACGAGATTTAATAAACAGAACTAAAAAATAACATAATCCAGGATATGACTGAACTCCAAACCACAAAGAAACAGGGACAAGAACACACAATGGACTGACAACAAGAGGGAAAGAGCACAGCCGTAGCGGCTGAGAGAGCAATGGTTCCAATGTGATTATTATAGTCACTATTTGTCTGACTTTTCTGTCTGAAAAGATCTTTCTGGTCTTTCGCTCCCTCTTTGATTCTCTCTCTGGTCCCTCCCTAGTTTATCTCTGATCTCCCGAGTTCATCTCTGGTCCCTTTCTCTGGTCTCTCTCTAGCCTCTCTTATCTCTCTAGTTTCTCTCTGGTGTCTTCCTCTGGTGTCTCCCTAGTTTCTCTCTGGTGTCTTCCTCTGGTGTCTCCCTAGTTTCTCTCTGGTGTCTTCCTCTGGTGTCTCCCTAGTTTCTCTCTGGTGTCTTCCTCTGGTGTCTCCCTAGTTTCTCTCTGGTGCTCCAAAACATTGGCCTCTTGTTTGCATCCTCTGTTTTGAAAGTCCTCTCTTGTGGTTTACTCCAGTGTTCTTTCCTTCTGTGCGTTTAGGAGGCGTACTCAGTGGCGCGGCAGTTCAACCAGATCCCTCCCATCTGCGAACAGGCCGAGTACCACATGTTCCAGAGAGAGAAAGTGGAGGTGCAGCTGCCAGAGCTCTTCCACAAGATCGGTGAGGCCTGACCTTACCCTGCAGCGGATAACGGTCTGAGAGAAGACCTGTTACTGCCGGCCGGAAAATTAATTTTGTGGATGCACTAAATCCAACAGCAGAGTTCAGCCTTGTGCTGTCGTCCGCAGAGATAAATTTAGCCTGACGTCTCTATGGCTTTTACATGCAGCCTCAAAGTCCAAGCTAACCAAAGCTAACATCACATACTCGTCTCATTGAGAAGCTGTACTTCATTAAAGATCTGACAATTTGAAAGTTAAGGCAAATCATTTCAATGTATTTGTGCATCTTCCTAAATCACAACAGCAGTCGTCTCGGAGGACTTTTCTAAGTGGTTGATTCACCAAACCACAGATCAGAGAATCAAATAGTTCGAACCGAGGAAGTTCAATGAGCACATAGGAGCTTTCGCTCCATATTAGGGAGCGGGGTGACTTAGGCTGTAGACCCTGGACTTAGGCTGTAGACCCAGGACTGAGGCTGTAGACCCAGGACTGAGGGTGTACACCCAGGACTGAGTCTGTAGATCCAGGACTGAGTCTGTAGATCCAGGACTGAGGCTGTAGGCCCAGGACTGAGTCTGTAGGCCCAGGACAGAGTCTGTAGATCTAGGACTGTTTGATTCTCTCATCTGTTGTTGGTGAATCCACAACTTTGTCCTGCTGTTGTGCTTTAGGGCGATACACAAATAAATTGAAATTGACTTGAATTGAATTTAACATAGTAGGAATTAAAATCTAAACATTACCATTTAAAGTATCTGACTGCAGAGAGGCTCAGTTTGAATCTGGAGAGGATTAGTGGGTCAAAAACATAACTGACAACCCCCTAACTCGATCTACCGGATCAGACAGATTTGACAACAAGTGTTCTACAAAGGGGGTGAGTTTGAGATTATGTAAACATTCATTATGTCTTCTGAACATTAGAATATTTTAAGCCTTAATTATGTAAAGTACTTTGAGAAGTCTTTTTTCATCTTACACAAAAACACATGGATTTAACGAGAGGATGAAATCATTCAGGTTTCAGAATAAGTGTGGATATAATACAAGCTTAAAGTCATTTTCTCAGTTGGCATTTATTACTCTTAAAGCTGGGGTACCTAACATATTCTTTCATAAATAACACATATGGTTTGTCCAATAAGGCTGTCTTCATCTTATTAGAAAACATGTTTCCTTTTTCATACCTATAACAAAGAGCCCTGTGAGTCACTATTTCAGCGGCACGGTGGCTGAGTGGATAGCACTCTCGCCTCTCAGCAAGAAGGTCCTGGGTTCGAATCCCGGTTGGACCAGGGCCTTTCTGAGTGGAGTTTGCATGTTCTCCCCGTGTCTGCGTAGGTTTCCTCCGGGTGCTCCGGTTTCCCCTACCACTAAAAATATGTACAATAGGTATGGCATGTGCCTCCTGTACTGGCACCCCCACCCAACAATTGTAAACCGCTTTGAGACTCCGATGTGCAGTGAAAAGGCGGTATATAAATAAAAGCTTACTTACTTACTTACTATTTGACACTTTGGGCTAAGAGATGATTGGCTGAGTGAAGGTGGTCCTCTTTGAGGCCAGAAATAATTTATGTGAAAACGAGTGATAGAAGCTCTCAAATCTCTCTCTCTCTCTCTCTCTGGTCTCCCTGGAAAAAGCTAGGTCACAAATATATGCATTTGAAAACTAGTTATAGAACCGTTTTAGAGCCAGGAAGTCTAACACTGTTTTATTAGAGTTCTATTGCTGTGGTTTAAAAGTTTCGGACCCCAGCTTTATGTACAAAAACGTGCTCCTGATTGAAGCTTGAAGAATACTTTTTAATGTAATGTAAATCCACGTAGCTCATGTCTGTGTAGAGTGTGTCTCTGCGGCTGCAGTCCACTCTGCTGTGACCAATGCCTCATAAATCTCAGGGTTGTTTCTCGTTGAGGGGAGACGCAGACTCGCTCCTCACGTTCATGATTCAGGCGTAAATTGTTTCTTGTCACTTTGTGTGAAATGAAATAAGCAATTTATAGTTTTATGTTCGACCAAGCTGCAGATTAATGGCCTCTTTCTTAGAACTGCATTGAAATCAGTGCGTTTGCAAACACTTCTGAAGTCCACATCCACGGAACCACGACAACCAGATCCTTATTAGACAAAGGGAGCATTTCAACCTTCTTTAGTCCCTCTGTCCCTGGTTCTATCCACGCCGAGCTGGTACTAAAGTGCTTGCCATGTTACCAAGGAATTTCCCCGGTCACAGGTTTGTTGTGGGTAGGTTGCTAGGATACAGTACCATAGTATAATGTAATGATAACACAACCTAAAGTAGAGTAGAGTAGACAAGACAAGAATAGAGTAGACTAGGTTAGAGTGGAGAAGGGATCCCACTAAACATCCGACGTCCACTCAACCTCCAGATCACGTCAAAATCGCGTCGGTCGGTCGTGACCTTTTATTTACGTCCAAACGACGTCTGTGCAAGGTGCGCATCTGGACGTAAAACAATGACCTCCCATAGACGTGGATATGACGTTCAATCCCGACCTCCCCTAGACGTCGAAAACAGGTCATCGGCCGACCGACGCAGTACGTCTTGATCTAGCAATAGAATATATAGGCTGTGAAGCAATATAAGTGTACCTGACGGTAGTGTAGTGGTTAAGCAAATGTGTGCAGCCTTGGTTACGTGAGTTCGAGCCCACGTGTGTGTATTATTATCTTTACATATTAGTTTTGATTTTTAACAAACAATTTTTTTCTGTTTGGTTAAAGACTAATAAACACTCAACATAGGATTACATAGTGGCTAATAATAAAACTTGTGAATGTATGCATTTGTTGTGCTAACAATCTCAAGTTTGCAAATAAGGGGTGAGCACTTGAGATTTTATGCAAATGCATGGGTTCACAAGTTTTATTATTAGCCACAACATAATCTTATGCTGAGTGTTTATTTGTTTTTAACCAAACAGAAAAATTGTTCGCTAAAAAGTGAAAAGTCAAAAGTTTTCCGACGGGGATTTGAACCCGTGTCGTCGCGACTGAAGTCTCATTACGCAACCGCTACACCACCGCCAGGCATGTTTCTGACTACTGTGAAAACATAATACATAACACCCTAAACAACCGACACACACTTATGCGCCGCGCGAGTATAACTATGTCTTCGCAGACGTTGATATGACGTTGAATCTGTACCTCTGTCGCTGCCCTGCTTTATTTACTTGGAATCACCCTCTCTACTAAGTACACAGTCTGCACAGTTTTTAGATATAGATGTATCATTTCCACATTGTTGTTGAGTTGGAGACAGAAAGTAAGTTGTTTTCTCACGTATACGTGGATTTTGTTAAGTATATTTTGTATATTATCTGTATTTTGAATTGCCAGTGCATGAATCTATAATAATAACGGCTGGCACTGCTCAGCTGAAAGGGAGACACCTTTTTTTAGTTTTTAAGTTAAAGTTTAAAATATGATATTGTTTTTCATATTTCAAACTATTTTTAACACATTAGAATTCTTAGGTTAGACTGTCCAACAAACTATGTGTTAAAAAAGGTTAAGATTCTTGAGTTTTAAAATAATAATTCAATTCTAAAATGTAAAGTTACTGTATATTTCACAATGGTTTATAAACTGCAAAAAGACAACAGTACTTAGTAAACTAAGTTTAAAAACAGGGAGATCAGCTTTAATATTTGGGACACTCCCATCATTTAGACACCTGTGATGTCATCAGTTGGAGTTGAGTTCAGGTGTGGGACCATGTGGGACCATGTGGGACCATAGGAGCACACAGATGTTACCTGCTGCAGAAAGAGAGTTTAATGTTCGTGTATTGCTTTGTTTAATAAATGGATTTAATGTCTTCCCAGGTCTTCAATGTCAGAGACTTTCACTTCTTCTCACTGTGGCTGTTTAAATGAGCCACTACAGTTGTTATTTTTGTTATTGTTAGCTGCAAATATTAAATATCCATTCATCTGATGGTAGCAAGCTAACTAGCGCTTGCAACTCTATTCAATTTCTTACTTTGTCTTATAAACTTTAAAACCAGCCATATGTTAATTAAAATACATTTACCTTTGCTAATGCAGTCAATTATTGTGAAATCCATAGAGTATAATTTCATGATTGTTGCAATAACTAATGTTCTGTGTGTATTCCTAATGTATCATGTGTGTTTGAGTCTTACAGGTGTCAGACTGTGTTGAAGGTGTTCAAAGGTAAGAATCACACTCTCACACATTGATTGTTCTTCTGTATTATTATGTTGTTTTTAGAATAAACCATTATTTGGTGTATTTTCTTTGAAAACATCTATCTTTTTCTCAGATTGTTCAGCAACTCACTCAAGATGAGGGAAAAGAGCAACAAGGGGAAAATGCCCCCTCGGAAATGCAACATGTGTAGAGTAATACAGGGTAAGTAGCTTTCAGGGCTCATTTGTCCATGTGCAAAACAAATGCACATTTGCAATTGTTTTTTACATGGAATTACTCCAATGACCAAAGCCTTATCCCAAGTTTCTCAGACGGAGTGTGTTCCAGTGTCTCGAGCTAGTGCAGTGCCAAGGTTTGTATCACATGGTGATGGATCAAGTGGTTTGAGGCATTAATAGAAAGTTATGTGTTGTTATATCACTTTGCCACATTATGTTGAAACTAAACATGTTCCACATTTTCAGGTGCTGTGCTTGGACCTTGTGATGAGAGACTGAAGACCAAGAGAGGACACATGTTGGAACATCAACATTCAATAAATGCATTCTTCTGCCTTTCAGATTGTGTTTTTACATCTGGGGAACCTAGAGTGTAGCTTGTGCCTGTTTTAATACTGATCCAAACATAGGCGCTACAATCATGTTTTTTTTACTTTGGCATGAACTGTTCAGTACAGTAGTGTTCATAACACTGTGCCCTGTGTGGTTTAACTTGTACTTTGATGTAGAGAAACATGATTTTTAATGCAGCTCCATTTGCAATAATGACTGATATCCTTCTACTACAGTTGTTCTAATGCTTTTTGAATGCTGTGGGTATGGTTTATTGCCCAGAGTCAGAACTAAACATGATAAAGCTGCATTTCAGATTCACAAGGCTAAAATCTGGAACGGTCTTCCTGGAAATGTGAGACAGGCTTCTTCTTTGACAATGTTAAAATCCAGGTTTAAAACACTTCTGTTTCTGCTTCAACTGAGAGATTTTATGAGAGATTTTATTTGTATCTTTTTAATTTACTGTCAATATTTATAATTGTAATGCCTTGTTTGATTGTTTCTATCTTTTGTTCAGTGCTTTGAGTTTCCTTTTGTTTTGACTGTGCTATACAAATAAACTTGCCTTGCCTATTGCAAAAAGTATGTCTCGACCAGTGAGTGATTCTGCAGAGGTTAAGTAGGTCAATAGGACTGTAAATGGACGTCATATAAACGTCAATATTTTGGTCATATAAGACGTCGAGAGGACGTCGGACCCGACCGGTTCTGTACCACATTGCAACCTTGAATGAACGTCCAGATAACGTCCAGATGACGTTGAAATGACATAGTTTTGACATCTGCTTGCTTAGTGGGAACAACGGAAAACGAACGTCATATGAAGGCAATATTTTGGTCATATAAGACGTTGATAGGACGTCAGACCCGACCGGTTCCGTACCACATTCAAACCTTGAATGAACGTCCAGATGACGTTGAAATGACATAGTTTTGACATCTGCTTGCTTAGTGGGAACAACTGAAAACGAACGTCATATAAACGTCAATATTTTGGTCATATAAGACGTCGAGAGGACGTCAGACCCGACCGGTTCTGTACCACATTCAAACCTTGAATTGACGTGCCATCAACGTAACATTTGGAGGTTGAGGTGACGTCGGGAAACGACGTCGAGAAAACTTTCATTCTGCACCCACCAGTGACCTATATTCTACGTTCAAATTACGTTGATTCAACGTCGGCTTGCTTAGTGGGATAGTGGAAACCCGGCTCATGTTTCCCAGAGGTTTTGTACAAAAGTCCACATCTTTTGCTAAACTGGTGAAGTCGTCAAAAGGTCATGGTTGTAGCTTTTGTTATCATGTTAAAATGTTGTTGTCCTGGCTCTTAAATAAGCATGTTACTGAACTCCTTCTCTGTGCAGCTGTTACTCTCTCTCTCTCTGTGCAGGTGTGGGGGCCATGACCTGGTCTCCTCTGGCCTGTGGGATAATCTCAGGGAAATACGACGGCCGGGTCCCTCCGTACTCTCGAGCCTCGCTGAAGGTAACCTGCGGCGGCTCCCGTCTCTCCTGCCTCTGCTGGGGGTCCCTGCTCATGTGTCTGTGGAGTCTCACTGTGGCTGAACTAAACAAACACAGACCCTAAAAACACATTAGAACAGTCACAATTAGCACATATTACAATAAGATGTAATAATCTGGGAGTGCTTTCAACATGTGCTTGTGTTTCACTGTTTCACTGTGTTGTTCTGGCCACGTTTCTGCAATGCATGTTATTACAGTAGTTTAAACACAGTCTCCTTCTCAGTCCTGTCACAACACACAACATCACACAACACAATAGAAACACGTTGTCTCACATGCATAGAGAGGACATACGCACTCTCGCTTCTCAGCAGAAGATCCTGGGTTCTCATTTCTGAGTATGCATGTTCTCCCCGTGTCTCCATATGTCTCCTCCTTGTTGGTCCTATTACTATGGCGACCACTGCTCCTGACAGAGGCCAAGAGAGTGTAACTTAGCTTTGCCAAAAAAGCTCAAATATGACAAAGAAACTGGCAATGTGTTGTTTTCTGTCTCTAATACGACAGAACGGTCCAGAGGCCTCTGTGTTGTATTGTGACAGGGCATGAGTTTGGATCTGTGTATCTGTCCACTATCACATCTGTCGGAAGTGTTGACCTTTCTCACTGTTGTTTCTGTTGCTGTTGTTGTTATTTCACACTGTTGTTGTTGATTCTCACTGTTGTTCAGTCCTGTTCTTTCCATCGTTCGCTGTTTACGATTGCTTGTGTGTAACTGCTTGCCTCATTGCTTACAGTGGCCTACAGTGGTCCAAATAAGCACAATTTTATAAGATAAGATAAACCTTGATTCATCCTTCAGTGAGGAAATTGTGCACATTACAGCAGAATAAAATGAGAAAACAAGAGCACTCAGGTTGCATATTACAAACAGGAGCTATTATTTAAGATAATAAAATTAAACTCTGGAGCACCGAGTTGCACTTGGTTCAAGAATAGGTACTCTTACCTGTGGAAACTACACTGTAGTTAGCAGCAGTCATGAGGTATTTAAAGATGGTTGGTTTTTCACTTGGGCAGCAGAGAATATGACCCTTTATAATAGTAATGATTGCAGGTAAAGTGACTGGGGAATTATCAGAACAGAATTATCAGATAAATGGAATATGTAATAATGTGGTTGTAATAATAGCAGGTTAAGTGACCAGTGGATTATCAGAAAAGGTGAATGTACAGACTCAGCAGTTCTCATTGTACAGTCTGACAGCACCAGGAAGCAAAGGCCTGCCGAACCTCTCCTTCACACATCAAAGGTGGATAAGTCTGTCACTCTCCAGAGCACAATGGAGAAATGTACATGTTACATTTGGCTTCAGTAAGAACACCCAGGGCGTGCAAATAGACAGGGAATGTGCAAACAGTTAAAAAGTAAAACTACAGGTAGATATAAGGCACCTTATTTGCAATAGAGGTGAACATATTTGACCACTAATTGAAGCACATATAAAGTCCAGTCTGGTTAAACATGTGATCTATAACACATGTGCACATTAGGGTTCTTTTTATACATGTGGTTCTTTCACAGAAATACTCCTTTACTATACTATTGCTACTGTTTACTGTCCATTGATTTTAGTCAAAGTCAGGTTCCCTTTCATTAAGAGGCAAACCATGGTCATATCTGCTTGAATTATGTCAGCATTATAAGTATTTCAGGACATTGTCAATGTCTTAAAATCTGTAACAATCAGCATGTGTCATGTTCCCATCAGAAAAAAAACCAAAAACATTTATACATCTTTAAAACTGATGTGAATCTGAATTTGAGGAATTTTGGGATAACATGAAACATTATACATAAAACATAAAAGAGTAGTGGTAGTAGTACTAGTAGTTGTAGCAGTAGTGGCAGCAACACTAACAAGGCTTTTTATCCATTGGCAGTGGTGTATTGTTGTGTGTTGTGTTGTGTAGTTGTCTGTAGTGATGTATAGTTGTGTGTAGTGGTGTGTTGTTGTGTGTTCTGGCACTTCCTGCTCTCTTACCTGTGTTGTGTCCCAGTGTTGTGATGTGCAAACACTTTTGCTGTTGTTTTTGTTGAATCTGGTTTTTGTTCTGAATAGAATTCCCTCAAGAGAAATGACTAGAGGGACTGTAACTACAAGGACTGAGGCTAGAGGAACTGGACTACAGGGACTGGGACTAGTAGGACAGGGATTACAGGGGATGGGACTACAGGGGCTGGGACACGGACTGGGACTACACGGACTGAGACTACAAAGACTTAGACAACAGGGAATGAGACCACAGGGACTGGGACTATAGGGACTAGAGGGACTGGGACTACAGAGACTGGGACTACAGGGACAGTGTTATTGGTAGTAGTTGTAGTGATAATAATCATAATAATTCTCCTTTTACAGATTATGTTTTTAAACTATTTAAACAAAGTTGAAATACTTAATGGTTGTAGAACCTAACATCAAATGAGTTAGGTTCACAGCAGTATGAGAACATAAATGTATTATGGAAAAGAAACATGAAAGAATTAATTCCATAGTAGTAGTAGTAGTAGTAGCAGTAGCATTAGTAGCAGCAGCAGTTCTACAGGCTCTCATTCACTCAACAAAAGATTAAAACACATATTAATCAGTAATAGTATCTATCAGCTCAGACTTTAGATGACTCGTACCTCTGGACTCTTTGGGACTATCCACAACTGTGCAGTTGTTAGTTCATCAGTGTTGGGCTTGGGTGTGCCCCCTGGAGGCCCGGAGCTGCAGGTTTAGCCGGTGTGCTGTGTGTCCGACAGGGTTACCAATGGTTGAAGGACAAGATCCTGAGCGAGGAAGGCCGGCGTCAGCAGGCGAAGTTGAAAGAGCTGCAGGCAATCGCGGAGCGCCTGGGCTGCACTCTGCCCCAACTGGCCATCGGTACGGATCTGCTGCTCTCTCTCTTTCTTCTGTCTGTCCGTGCCTCCACCTCAGTCCAACAGGGGGCACTGTGCTCTGCCTCAGTCCACCAGAGTGCTCTGTCTGGGGCCTTTGAGGATAGAGGTTACAGAGGTTTGTGTGTTTGAGTGGAAACTGTATCAGAGGCTTTAATGAGTACTGCTTAATTGCTTGACATAATTCGGCCAAAGGCGGAAGTCTGCCACCAAAACATGTCAGGTAATTAAGCAGTACTAGCTCCTTTACATTTTTGTCTTATTAAAAGAACCCTCTAAGCCTAAAACATAAAAGGGTTAGGACCTAGGATTTAATTTGTATCACAGAATATCTAAGAAAGGGTGAGGTGCCCGTTTTTGTTCTGGAAGTTTAAAACACATGATTTTTCTTAGGGATTTGGGAAGAAATGGTAGATTGAAAGCTACAGGGCTGATCAGCTGTGCGGTGACGAATGACCACAAAATCTTTATTTTTATGCCAGACCAATTGTTTTCCATCCAATTAAACATGCTCTGTGTAGTAGTTACCACTGCACGGATAATCACTTCTGAAGTCCAAACCCTGAGATGCCTTCTATAACTTGAGGCAGTCCTAAATAAACTCTTGTGGGATATTGCTGAAGCTCAACATATTTATTTTCAGTGCCTGTATTAATACAGCTTAAACTTTAGCAAATTTGTTGTGTTTACAACTAGAAATATAAAGATTTTCTGAAACGCAGGTCACCCAAGTGACTGTTGGTCCTGCTGCACCTGTGTTTTGGGAACAAAAAGCAGGGATGGGGAAGAGAGGAAACAACCCACGGGGAAGGCAAGACACAGGGAAGGCGAGAGCACCGGGGGCCTAGCGGGACAGGACCCGTGGTCTGCCGGCACAGGCCATGGCAAAAAGACCCACAAAGAGAGGACCTCGAGTGCGGATCGCGAGAGCGGATCCCGAGAGCGGATCCCGAGAGCAGACCCAACGGATACTCAATTCATTTCGTAGCCATATCATACTTGGCATACTAGCAAGCCTTAATTCTACTCTAAATAGTGAACATTGACTTGCCTTCTTGTCGATGATTCTTTTATATCAAAAATGTTGCTGGTTGTTTTTGTGGTAGTAGTTAGCGAAGCAGCGTTGGGACGTGATGATGCTAAAGGATTTCAAACTAACTAAATACATTATAACAAAACATTTAGGCGGCCATTTGTTTATTTTGAAAATAACATTTCAGTTGTGATTTACCCATTAAAAAACATTGACTGGAGAAGACGAGAACAAAAATGGGTAGGCCAAGATAAAAAAGTGGTAGGCTTGGGCCTACCCGGATCAGGGTAGGGTAAATCATTTTTGTTGCCACGTAAGTAACAGGAAGTCACAGACTTGGAAATTGCTTTGGCTCAGAAAGAGAGGTAAAGAGTAGAGAAGGCATAATAAAAAATAAATAAAAAAATCAGCAAGGAATAAAATTTAAATAGAATTATTACAATTACTAACTATATACAATATACAAGTGCACATGGTGCACACAATTTAAGGTGACAGCACTAAAAAGTAAAGTGACGTTATGATGGGCAGTAAAGTGACAAGCTGTATTCATATTTTTGGAAGGCATTGTACTTTATTGTTTCATGATCTGCTTTACAAATGTCAAAAAAAATAAAAAATCTTGTCATTCTGGAAAGTTTTGAAGACCGCTGGCCTCAGTCGTGTTTTCAAACTCTTAATATTTTTATTTTCTAAATCTCCTCTGGGGCTTTTTAACATGTAGTTACTGGAACAAAAGTGGGCTGCCACATGTCCTCTAGAAGCAGTGGAAGATCATGCCAGCAGCAGTAGACCTCCAGACTGTCTCGGCTACAGAAACACTACTGTAGTGTTGTCTGAACCTAACGCGCTCTTCTGATTATTCCTTCTCATTCACCAAATGTATTTCTCTGCCTCACGCTCATATCACTCACATTTATGTCCACAAACAGACTGCTCTGAGCTCCTCTCAAACGAGGTTGAGCTACGTGTCTTGTCTGCATTAAATCAGTGACAATTGATTTAATGTTTCTTCTGACACAATCTACAGCTGCTTACACAGGACACTGCAGCAGAGGATTGCAGGGAGGAGTTTCTGGGACCACAAAAACAGAAACATTTCCATAGGAATACATTATTACAATTGAATGTCTAATACTGTTGTACAGTAGCTTGTACATCCGCAGCTGTGGTATTTACAATTACTGCTGTCAGCACAAAAGCACAATGGTGACATAAATTCAGACTCTGTGTTATAAGGGGGGTCCGGCTCTGGTCTGGTGCTGGTTACTGTAGTGTGACATCGCAATAGTGTAAGGCTATTAATAGAAAAGAGGCTCATTTGAACATAAGATAGCTTATGCCCTTATATAGGCATTTAGCATTGCGTTAGCTTTGTGCCGTTACAGAGGCTAAGATGGTTGCTAAGGCAAACGGGAGTTTCCCTGTGAATGAATGCGTCTGATTGGTCAATTCTTATGTGACTCATATCATGATTTACAAAGATTATATCATCAATATAACCTCCAGGAGGGGGCGACAGTAGCTCAGTTGGTAGAGCATCGGCCTTTGAGCCTGGAGGTCGTGGGTTCGAGCCCACCACGGGACCTACTCCAACTGCTCCCACAAATGTCTACTGTTGTTGTGTCCTTGGGCAAGACACTTAACCCCACGTTTCACCACTGATGTAGCAGCCATCTTCCTGTGGACTCACCTCCTGCAGAAGGACTGGTGCTATGAGTATTGGGTGGCAGCTCTCATTGTCACCCCCCCGACCCAGAAATGGACTAATAAAGGGGTTGAAAATGAATGAATGAATGAATATAACCTCCAGGATCACAGAGACCACAGATTTAAGCCCAAAATGGTGAGTGTGACACAATCAGTAACTGCGCTAGAGGAGTTTACAGGCTTCTATAACGCTGCAAAACGGAACGTTTAAAGAGATCCTTTACTCCTTCGGCTGTAAAACTTTGCAACTGATCTCTCTGACACTATTGTTTATGACAGAATTATGTATTTATTTATGTTTGTATGGATGGCGTATTTTTGCTGCTGGATACTCATAGGGATCAATAAAGTATCTATCTACTTTTACACGTAAGTCAATAGGAGTCAGAGCAAGTTGCAGCCAAACTACATCTTGGAAATGTTTACTGTCTGTGTTTTACAATGTATACACAGCTTCTGTCCAGATCTTATGGCTTCAGTGAGACCAGCAGACTGACTGTGCTGTGACTCCAACAGACTGGACGTTGAATGAATCTGTAATCATTATAATATAACACATCCTTGACACAGACACCGAACACGTCCAGTCAAACCACACACGCCAGTACAGGCCGGGTACAGACCGGGCACAGGCCGGGTACAGACCGGGTAGAGGCCGGGTACAGAAGCTCCGTGCGCACACACATTATAATTGTATGGTCATGTGATCATTGTTCAATGTTTTTTCTTCATATTATTGTCGCCAGGGATTATTCGATGTGGGACTGGTCCTATTGTTCATTGGGGACTATTTCTAGTTGTCCCAAACTAGTATTTTGGGATTGAGAAGACCAGTGCTATTCAGCATACCGCCCCGTCTTGTGCTCCAAGAACGTGCTTTTGCCTTACCGGTACTTAGTCTAAGACTTACAGTATACGTTCATTTGCACATTTAATACTTCAGATGCTCTGCTGATTTTTAGAGCGCCCTTCACGCATTGCACGCTTGCTACTTCATCTCACAGAGAGCAGTGACTGCAATACCCATAAGTTTTACGAGCGAAAGGCGTATGCGTCACTTTTACCGCTGTAAACAACTCAAAGGCGTGCTCGCATGGGTGCTAGTCACTCGTGGTGCAGTGAGTGACGAGCGGCTCTCCTCACACAGGCCGAGGGCGCATCGAAGTATTGACGACACCAGGGGTCTCCAACCTTTTTCAATCGCGAGTTGCGTTCATACAACAGAAGAGGCATGTTGTATGCGGTCATGATAGACCTCTATGTAATAATTACGACAAAACATGGAAAGCATATGCAGAAAATACCATAATACTGTATAACCGTATACTTATAATAGATGTGTAATGACTCAAAGGTGAATCATTCAAGATCATGTGTTAAACTGTAAATCCTGGTAACTACCTGAAAGGGGCTGGCAAGCTACTGGTAGCTACCAAGCTACTGGTTGGAGACCCCTGAACTACACTGATGCTCTCACTGTGTAGTCTATGGAGAAGTGTACAGGACAGTATGGCCAGAGAACTGATGTAGGGCAACACAGATCCGAAGTCTGTGTCCTCATGGTCTCTGTGGACTGGTGTCGTCAGACCATAGACAGTAAACATTAAGACTCGAGACTCTGGACGTTTGATACAAATGCTGTGTGTGTGTGTGGGTCTAATGTTCAGCATTATTTCACTACATTCTGCATTTTTTATTTATTTCAGTAGCTCTGAAATAAATACATTTTCTTTAAGGTTGTCCGTTGACAGTTGTATATAAAACTTCAGGGAAAAAGAAGTGCATTCTTTTGCATTAAAAACATGCAAACATTCCCCTGGGCGGAAAAAAAAAAGAATACTGGCACTTTTTTTGGGCCACTTAAAGCACTAGAGTAGACTATATTTTCAAAGAATGTATTTTGTTTTGCAACACCAACAGTCTATGTATATATTACACTGTTTACTTGTTTTGGGGAATATAAGATTGAAAAAAACACTGAAATATATTATTTTACAAAATGTTTACCCAAAAATTATTCAAAACAATATCTGTGTGACAGAGATTTTGCTATTATTACTCCTGAGAAAGAGAACGGGAAAATGGTGAGAACAAAGTGCGTTCCCTCTGGGTTTGAGTGTTTCCTTCTTGAATATTCTGTTTGTTGCCAGGTCCTATTATTACTATTTTCATAGATGTGCTGCATCCTTTACTCTGTAATCTGCTACAGGTGCATTTCACCAAACACGGTTACATAACTTGTGGTGTTTCAGGCAGCTGCAGATGTCTGGTTTGTTGTTGATGAAGTGCAGAAGAACAGAATACTCAATGATTCATATGAAACGCACAAATGTGTGTTTGTTCTTTTGAACGCTCAGACAACGAGATGCTAACACCATGCTTTGTGTTGTGGAGGCTTCAGTCTGAACCATCCAGTGGTGGACCCTCAAGGCCTTTGCTGCTGCCCTAAACATGATTACGTAAGGGATAACGTATAGTACGCAGGTCATTATCGGAAAATAAGTACCGACAGGGCGAAGCGAACGGGGTCTGCTTCCGCCCTGAAGGAAGCAGCTTATTACACGGCTTTATACCAACAGAACACACAACATAAACTTCAGTTCACTTTTAGGAATGCCAAAAGGTTTATTTAAAATAAGAAAGAAAATAAAATAGTTCCCAATGGCTTTCCCGTGGCTATGCTAGCAAGTTAGGCAATCAACTTCCAAACTAGAACTCTCTGGAACTGCATGAAAACTGAACAAAGAATTCTGAACATCAGCAGTGAGTGACCCATACATAAACCTAACCTAAATCCATAATTCGATCCTCTGCAAATGTGTCCTAAAATGTGCCGGTATTTACTTCCAGGTTTTTCGGGATCGCCTATTCTCGCATTACATCAGTGTTTTTGTCATGAAGACAAGAGCAGTAAATTCTGAAAATCTCCGTTCACGTGTGTGAAGAATGTATATGTATAAGTATTCTCCGATTAACATTTAAGTGTGTTGATTGATTGGTATTTGCGTTTATTGAGCGTGGCTAGCTCCGGAGTGGCCGGAACTACTTGCGGAGTTATCCACGCATCTGAAAGACAAGCAGAGAGTGCATTGCCATGGGCAGCGGTCATTATTGTTTTGAGAGGTCCGTTATAGAAAATAATGACCGGTAGAACGTTTTGAAATTACATTCAAATCAATGGAGCGTTCTACTGCTGCTGTGAGGAGCCGTGTAATAAATATATATATACATTTTTTATAAAATATATAATATATACTTTTTCTTATTATTTTTTTCTGTTTATATTTCCACAAACTACGTTGGTTGCGCAGCTTCAAACTTCAGGTCGAGATTTTGGGGGGGGGAGATGTTGGAGATCGCTGGGTTAGGACATCAATACAGGCGCAGGTCTGAAATGCACGGACCGCCACTGGAACCATCTACAGCTCGCCTCATCCTGTTACCATAGACTGAAGATTTAAGAATCAGGTATTATTTCATAGTGAATGTTTAAGATGGGCAATAGACTATACTCAATAGGAAAGTGCTCATTGTGAAGTTTGGCTCCAACTCTGTCTGGCTCCTATTGACCTCCATGTAAAAGTAATCCTCTAGCTTAGTAACCATTTGTGTCACACTCACGATCCTTATATGGCTCATATCTAGATCCACAATCAGATGCCTTCATTCTTGGGGGAAAGCTTGCCTTGCCAGAGAAAGAGAAGATTGGACAGGTGTGTGAGCCATATGGTTCTTGTATTAACATTGATAGAGCTAAAAGCTAATAGAGCTTTTTAGGTGTTCTTTAAAGCTGCTGTGTTGTGGGAAATACATGTATTCAATGTGCTATCCCAACAGTTCCAGGTAAGCTCAAATTCTGACTTCAGCTGCTGCTGGATACAAAGAGTAACACCGCATTTCACCACTTTTCAGACACATTCCAGTTTTGCTCATGGACTATATTCAGGTGTTTGGAGCTTACACGCTGGCATGGTCAACACTCTTCAAACGCCTGCTTTCTCATTCACTGATGCAACAGCTCAACTTCACAAACCTCTTTACGTACAATACATTTCCCACTGCCCTCTGGGATTTCCAGACTGACGCTTTCTCCACTAGAACTCAAAAGTGGGCCATATTTCAAAGCTGCTCTGTCCAACACAGAAGCTCCATGTAATAAAACTCCCTCACATTATATTTATCACAATCTTGCAGTCTTCACTTTTGGTTTGTTGCCAATTTCTGTCAATTGTGCTGCGAGGCGTAGTCTAGTGGACTGTGTGTGTCTCTATCTCTTTCTCTCTCTATGTGTCCCTCTCACTGTCTCTTATTGTGTGTGTGTCTCTCTGTGTGTGTCTCCATGTGTGTCTGTCCCTGGCCTGTCTCTCTGTCTGTGTGTGCGTTTGTTTCATTGTTGTGTTGCTCTCTGCAGCGTGGTGCCTACGTAACGAGGGGGTGAGCTCAGTGCTTTTAGGAGCCTCCAACACGGACCAGCTCATGGAGAACATAGGAGCGATACAGGTGGGTCCAAACTGTTACAGAGAACGGCTTTCTCCACTGGTAAGTTGACAAGACAGAGGGTAACCCACTTAAAGCTGGGGTAGGTAACTTTTAAAGCTCAAATATGTAACTCTGTAATAAACCCATGTCTCTTGTTCCTGAAATAGTTGCTTCTATCACTAGTTTTCACATCATGTAATTCTGGCCTCTGTCACGTCTTCTGATCAGCTTTTTCAGACAGAAAAGTGAGAAAGAGAGGACTACCCTCACACAATCAGCTCCTAAAGAGTCAAATAGTGACTCACAGGGCTCTTGCTTACAACTTTGCAGATACAAAATGTTCGTACAAAAATGTCATTTGTGCCTGCTGTCAAATACAGCAGGTTAAGTCCTCTTCGAGATCCCATGTGACTCCAGTCTCAGCTGTGTTTCTCTTATTTGCCCTAGTTTGAGGAGATCCCAGCCCTCAGCCTCAGTCCTGCATGTCCTCAGCCTCAGCCCTGGTCCCCCATGTCCTCATTCTCAGTCCTCAGCTTCGGTCTGTCATGCCTGGCTGCTCCACTGTAGGATTAATAAGGTCAGAAAGGAGTTGCTCCAGGGCCCGGGATGGCTCTCTCTTCCTCTCAATAAGAGCCTCTCCTCTAATGGGCCCTCCAGCCCTCTCTGTTGCTGCATTATGTTTGTCTGAGGCTCTTCCACATTCAGCTGATATTTCAGACAAATGTCACGGTCGCATTTCCCCAGGAAGCTCTGCCTCGATAAAGTTTCTCAGTTATGTACTGTGAGAGATAGTGTGTGTCTCTCTCTCGCGCACGCGCACGCGCACTTTCTCGCTCTCTCTCTCGTTTTCTCTTTCTCTCTCTAGTGATAGAATTAACTGTTTTAGAGCCAAGCACATGGGCTTGTTGCAGAGTTCTGTTAACTTACATTGATTTCATAAATGTGGTCACATATTGAAGGAAAATGGAAACTATTTGCAAGCTCTGAATTTGGAATTTTATCTTATTTGTGTAGATATTGTCATGAATGTTTCCCTGCTGATCAACTTCAGGGGCTCTCTCTGGTCTCTCCTTAGTCTCTCCTCTGGTCTCTCTCCAGGCGCTCTCTCTGCTCTCTCTCCGGCTTTTTAAAATACATACACTCCCTCATTCATCTCTCACCCTCTTCTAAAGCCTTGTGTTTCTGTGCCTCAGGTTCTTCCAAAGTTGTCCTCCTCCATCACACATGAAGTGGACAGCATCCTGGGGAACAAGCCGTACAGTAAAAAGGACTACCGCTCCTAACGCTCCGCTGGCCACGCCCTCTTTGCCTGATCCTCTGTTTGCTTGAGCTTTTACTGAATGAGAGCCTGCGCATGAGCGTGGCACCGAGCCACCCAGAGCTGCTCATCTAGAGTTACAGCCAAACGAAACCAGAAACGGGAAATACATCACCTCCAGACAGACGCCGAGACCGGGATGAGAGCTGTTCTAGGGACTCGCTCCTGTCTAAAGTCAGCTGGAAGTTAAAAAACAACAGAGAAAATACATTTAAAAAGAAGCACATGCTAGCTTGGCGTACAGATCTGTTTTTGCTTTTTATTTTTGGTTTAAAAAAATAATACTAATAATGCAACTCAATGGGAAATTACTGTAGTTGATGGTGCGTGGAACTTAGTGACACCGGAGCATTCTGTTTACAATCACCTGTGTCCTGTCTCAGTCTCAGTCCCATTGTGTTGTCTCCTGTAGTCGGTGTGAGCGCCCCCTGTGGGCAGCAGTCTGCACTTTAGTCTGTGCTCATGTGAGAACAGAATGGTTCTTCAGTAGAGTTTTGTCGCAGCCATCATTGCACTAGAGGACCACCCCTCGCTAAGCCACAGTATGTGGGCAGGACTGAGGCTACACCCTTTACCCGAGTAAACTCTTCCAAATAATCACTGAAATAACATTCATGCATTTCTATAGATTGTGTATCTGCTTCTGCTTACAGTAGGTCCCTGAAACGGCACAGGCTTCGACCTTCTCTCCATCTGCTCTTCAACTCCTTTGCCTTATTTATTTTTTGTCAGTCATGTTGCAGGTTCCTCTGAGCTGTAGAAATGTCCAACAGGTAAAGCTGTTCTCTGCTGTAGCTCAGGGGTCGAGTGGTTTGGTCTTAAATGCTTCCGCAGCATCAGGATCCTGTTGTGAAAACCAGGAATGAATCAGAAGACTATTTGGAAAATAAATCAATAGAACAGGCTTTTTCTTTAATCAAAGTTCAACGTTGTCATATTCAAGTGAAAGTTAAATCTATGTAATGAAATTCATGTGTCTTCCGTATAAACACTATAGTTACCAATATTACGTTTTTATGAAGGTAAATTTAATAATCAGGCAAAACTGCTATAAATGACTACAACTAAAAAGGACGGTTGTGAAAAACTACCACAAAATGACTTTATTTTGAGATAGATAGCTTCTCAATCTCCTCTAAGATAAATTCAGGTGTCCAGCTGAAAAAATGCATCCATCCCTACAAACACAGTAGTACATCACTGTAAAAAAGTAACTAACATTAGTGCACTTGTTTCACTCGTGTAGAACATGTTTGTATCTTGCCAACACATCTGAGATTTGGCAAAAACTGACAAATCAAAGGCAAAACACACTGTAGACGCATTCATGGGCTACGCAAAGGAACCTTTTTCCTCATCCTTTTGTGAGCTTTAAAACTGCCCTTTTCTGACCCGGGAACACTCCAGGTTTGGTTGGACTTTAACACCTTTTTAAGAGGTTTTTGATGCTACAAATGTCAATAAAGATGAGAAGGAAAGGTAATGAAGTTATTTTTAATCAATTTGAATGCAGCAAGGGACAGAGAGTATATTAGGTTGTTGAAAATGGTGATTTACATTATATCGAGTAGTTGCCAACTCTTACTGAGTTAACTTGTTCTGGGTCAGGATCCAGAGCTTTGGAAACATCCTCTCTCCAACCCTCGATGCTCCGAACCTGCAGAACCTTTAATCGGCTCGAGCCAAAGATTGCGAGTGTGTTTTCCACTCACTTCCTGCTAGTATGAATAATATTAAAGATGATACTTGGCGCATGCTCCGTCCAGCTCTCTGCGTATCTACTCCTACGGACTCCATGTATTTATCTAAACTTGATCACGCTGTAATACTCTTTAAGATAAGGCCTCGTATACACCACGCATAGAGCTGATAATTGCTTCATGTCCATGAGGAGATGAGGAGTGTCCAGATCTCTGCATTGAACGGTTTACACGCACTGGGGTGACTTGGTTTGGAGTCTTTATTAACTCGAAGTTTTTACCCTGCAAAAAGTGAAGTTATGGACTTGTTTCCACCAGCTCAACTCTGCTCTACCCTACCCTACTCTGCTCTACCCTACTCTGCCTGGTTGTGTTTCCATTACACTTTATCTGGTCCCCTATCCAAGTAACCTATCCGCAACAAACCAATAACTGGTGACATTCCTTGGTAACCATAGGTAGAGTAGAGAAACAGGGCTATAGATGTATATTTTAGAGATAATCAGGTGGCTTTATTAGAGCAATAAGGGCACATTACATCCTGTTTCTTTCAAACCAAATCATTTGAAGTTTTACTAGCACGTTAGCTCTGTCCATCTCTTCATACAGTGTCTGCATCCAAGTCTCTGCCGCTGGTAAACCCTTCTGTGATCAAAGCACTTAGCTCTGTCCATCTGTCTGCGTCCAACACCAAGTCTCTGCCGCTGGTAAACCCTTCTGTGATCAAAGCACAAGCAGCATGTGGCCCTAATGCATGAACCATGTGACCTGAACCATGTGACCCCAACAGGAACTGCTTACTAATAACCAGGCTTTAAGAAACGGCAGCGAACCACAAGAAGCGAAACAAAGAAACTCCAATACTGTGGTACCTGTGGGGAATCCAGAATCCAGAGGTTCATCTCCAACTCCTCCCTGTGATTTTAGAGCCACAGCCGTGATCCATGTTGTGTGTGCGTATCTGCTTTAGATCAGCGTAGCTCGTTCATTCTCGTGAACTCTCTTCTTTTCCGGTTTTATAATTTCTTCCCTTGTCCGTTCTACGTCCGGGTGATTAAAAAAAGTGTGAAAGCCAATGTTTTTCTCGTGTTAAATATCTCAGTCTGTTCAGTTTGTTGGTGTGTCTTAATATTTTCATCAGGGACAGAAGTCGCTTAAACTGGAGACTTAAAAATATCGCTGTGCATTTTGCTCGACCATCAGTGTGAAGTCGCGGCTGGGCATGGACTGTGCGGCCCGGAGACACCTGGAGATCTCTGTAACTGAGACGCCCAGAACATCTCAAATGTTTCGGTCGGACAATATTGTTTATTGTGCAACTCCGCAAGCTCATCTCTTATCTATGTGACCTTTCATGTGAGTTTTAGGATAAGACAGATAAGAGAGCTCACAAGGAGCACACAACAAGTAGCTGCAATGATTCTTAACTTGCCGTAAATGCTTCATACGAGCAGCAAGTAAATGTGGCAGAAAAACTACCAGTACAGTAGTATTTATTCTTCAGTCATTGGTTTTGAATTTCTACTTCTTTGTTCTAGTTTTTGACCAAAGACTATTTTACATATTTATCAATGTGACTTAAATGGACAGTTTGTCCTGGAATAAAGCCTGATAATAGTCCACACTCAGCTATGAAATATGATTATAATAGGTTTGTGCTTCCGGTTGCACTGTCTCCTCCCCAGCCGCTCTGTCAGAGGTCACCAACGATGACCGGTTTCATCATCTTAAAGACACTTTAAAAGTGTGCGTTTGGAGTGAAACAGACCCACGAGGTTTTAAGATATAGCTTATTTTCCACAAATGATTTTTAAAAATATATTTTTTATGTTTTTTTTCTGTAGAGAAATTGCCTGGTTTTGTTTTCTCCTCATGCCTTTCTCATATCAGTTTTGTAAAGTTCTTAAAGGGAATGTGTGTGTGGCATCAGGTGGGGAAGGATGTGATATCACCCAGAGTCCGCCCTTGCTGTACAGACTTTGAACTCTGTAAATATATTTCCGGTTGTGACCACACCTCTGCCTTTTTTATTTTATTTCGCAGGCATTGCTAACTGCACTGTGCTGATTCTAACTTTAGACAAAATGTACAGCTTCAATCTCAATGAGAAATGGAAATCATGATAAAAATAAGTATGATAAAACCTGGTTTGTGTCTTTATTTACACCCACACACTGCTGTGGTGGCGGCTTCTACTGCTTCATTTTTCATTTTCGTGAGCAACTTTTAGCAACTGCAGCTCAATTTCTTATGTTGTTTGGAAAACCTTTTGTAGACATAAGTAGCCTCAGTTCCACAGCACAAAAACATGAATTTCGCCCTAAAACCTTTTCCAGCGACATGTGAAATTACTTCAATCATTGTCGGGTCCTTCCCTATCATAATGCAGACATAGTCCCTCCAGCATGTCCATGGTCTTCCCTGGGGTCGCCACCCGGTGGGACTTGCCTGGGAACTCCTCCCCAGAGAGGCATCCAGAACAGTGTCTGAAGTGTACACTCATCCTGCAGCCTTAGTCGACATTAATTCAAATCTCTGTTCTCCACTAAATCTGACTGGTTGAAGTTCTGCCAAGAGGAAGTACTCTTTTTATATATATATAATCTTTGAAAAATACTATTATACTGTAATATTATAGTGTACTGTTAGAAGAGTTGTTGGATTTTCATTAAAGTGAATTAGAATATATTCAAAGTTTAGATAGTTTTGGGTTAACTTACTGTGTGGTGGGATGGGGCATTCTCCCATCCCCCAGGTAAGCGTGAAAGAGCATAAGTAAACAAGAGCAGAGTAAACAAAGCATGAAGGCAGAAGACATCTGTGTTGTGACAAGAAGACTCCTGACTGATGAGAGGAGATTGGTTTTCTCACCTAGAGTTTGATAGGTCATATTGTCACCAAATGGTCACATGTGTTTCAAATTATCAGGGTATAAGAACAGAGTTCTTGGTCCATTTCTTGGTCACTCTGCTGCTTTCCATCCAGCAGAGACCCAGACTGGTGCAGTCTGTAAAACTTGTCTGTTTGTGCTGATGTCCAGATAACCTGTAGTTTTGAACCAGCGGCTGACAACATGTATTAAAGAGATTATGTTGTTGAAATGTGAGTAGTTATTCACATATTTTGGTCCTTCTTGCGCCGGATGCCAACATGCTTTTCTGCGGAGCTGAGGATGCCTCAAACATGGAGTTGGAGCAGCGGTGAGACCTTCTTCATTCAGAACTGCTTTGAGGACTCCATCTTTGAGGCATGGCCAGTCTCCGGA